AATTGAGATTAATTGAAATTGGGAGCCAGTTTCAAATGGAATCAATTCAAGTTGGGAGCCAATGTAGAATGGAATCAAAGCAAAGCAATTGAAATTGGGAGCCAGTTTCAGAGAAATTGAGATTAATTGAAATTGGGAGCCAGTTTCAGAGAAATTGAGATAAATTGAAATTGGGAGCAAGTTCAAGTTGGGAGCCAATGTAGAATGGAATCAATTCAAGTTGGGAGCCAATGTAGAATTGAAATTGGGAGCCAATTCAAGTTGTAGTATGAGATGCAATTCAGATTGGGGACCAATTAAAAGAAGACATTGAGGAGCAATTGAATTGAGATGAAATTCAAAGAACAAGTTGGGAGCCAATGTAGAATTGAAATTGGGAGCCAATTCAAGTTGTAGTATGAGATGCAATTCAGATTGGGGACCAATTAAAAGAAGACATTGAGGAGCAATTGAATTGAGATGAAATTCAAAGAGAAGTCCAATTTCAAAGTCAACATTGAGAAGTAATTGGAGCACCAGGAGATAGAGAAGTCCAATTTCGAAGTCAACATTGAGAAGTACAATTCAGATTGGGGACCAATTAAAAGAAGACATTGAGGAGCAATTGAATTGAGATGAAATTCAAAGAGAAGTCCAATTTCAAAGTCAACATTGAGAAGTAATTGGAGCACCAGGAGATAGAGAAGTCCAATTTCGAAGTCAACATTGAGAAGTACAATTCAGATTGGGGACCAATTAAAAGAAGACATTGAGGAGCAATTGAATTGAGATGAAATTCAAAGAGAAGTCCAATTTCAAAGTCAACATTGAGAAGTAATTGGAGCACCAGGAGATAGAGAAGTCCAATTTCGAAGTCAACATTGAGAAGTAAGTATGGGATGCAATTCAGATTTGGGACCAATTAAAAGAAGACATTGAGGAGCAATTGAATTGAGATGAAATTCAAAGAGAAGTCCAATTTCGAAGTCAACATTGAGAAGTAATTGGAGCACCAGGAGATAGAGAAGTCCAATTTCGAAGTCAACATTGAGAAGTAATTGGAGCACCAGGAGATGTTGGGAACCAATTGCAAGTCAAAGTCAATTGGGAGCCAATTACAAAGGAGAAATTCAAATTGGGTGCCAATTACAAGCCAATTGAAATTGGGTGTCAATTACAAAGGAGAAATTCAAATTGGGTGGAAGTTCAAAGCCAGTTTGAAGTCTGAGAACACCCAGACGTGAGAATGAAGAAGATGAAGCAGAACTTACAGAGAAAAATATTCTCACAAGGAAAATACTAGTTTAACTAGTATGGGATTAAAATAAAGATTATTTTTGAATCCCAAAGATACAAGGACCACTTCAAAGCTGATCAGAGAAGCCATTCTACACCAAAACTGAGACCCAGATATTTCTACTCAACGTTAAACCAGAGGAATATCAGATGAAGTTTGGGAGCTCATTTACATGGAGATGAAACTCCATCAACGGCTAGCTTATCTCTTTCTGACATTTTTGCAGAAGATAAGATAAGATCTCTGACAAAAGATACAAGATTTAAAAAATGAGAGCGTCTCTTTCCAACGGACAGATTCTCATTACCAGCTATAAAAAGATGAAGATATGAAGACTTGAAGAATACGAGTGCAGTAGAGCAGATCACGAACTCACGAACAAGAGAGCAGAAAATTCGAATCCATCAAAGGATCGAATAGAGCAATTAAGCTTAAAAGAGCAGAGAGCTAAAATTCTAAGAGCTAAAATCTTCAAGTGTGAGAAAAGAACTCAGAGAGCTTCAAGAGAAAAATATTCTGAGAGTTCTTAAACAGAGCAAAGCAGAGCAAAATATCAAGTGCTTTACTTGATATATTCAAAGAGAGAAAACACTCAGAGCTATCAAGAGAAATCATTCCAGAGTGTTTATCTTCATCAAAGAGACCTGCGCATCATTGAAGATCATCTACAGAGTCTCAGAAGTTGGAAGCAAGACAACACTTGTTTTGGAGCAAAACAAGAGAAGGGAGGAAAGTAGCACGGAGCTGTGAAATCCTGGATTGTCACACGGAGCTGTGAGATCCGAAGCAGCAGTGTCGGAGGCACTGGGCGTGATTGGTGTGGGCTTGGTGATCAAAGCACCAGATCACGGATACGTTTCTACCGGAGTGTGGAAGACGGGGGGAAAGTAACGCGGAGTCGTGAAATCCTGGGATAGTAGCGCGGCGACGTGAAACCTGAAGCAGCAGTGTGGTGTCACTGGGCGTGATTAGTGCGGGCTTTGTGATCAAAGCACTAGATCACGGAAATTCATTGTATCTTGGAACCAAGGAGTGGTAGATATAGTGAATTGGCTCTTGGAGAAAAGAGCAAGTGGAGTAGGAGGATTACACCACCTCGCGAACCACTATAATTGTCTTGTGTTCTTTACTGCTATCTTTACATACCGCTCTTTACATATTCGCTCTCACGAAGATATACTGCTCACACAATCTCACACACACTTTATGTTTATTTATTTCCGCTGTGCACCATACTCTAACAATCTAGTTAAGAGTTTTGGTTTATCTCTGTCTTAGCAATTGTTGTGCTGTGCAAAAAGTTTGAAAGTCTATTCACCCCCCCCCCCCCCCCCCCCCCCTTACCTCTTTTGGGACCAACATATATATATATATATATATATATATATATATATATATATATATATATATATATATATATATATATATATATATATATATATATATATATTTATATAAAAGACTCGTTTATCCTACGAATGGTACCCGAAACATCAAACTAGACTTTAGGCACGATAGACGGAGTCCGTTGGGACGCCACGGGGGTCGGGGGAACATCAAACGGGGAAGCCGGGATCCCGAGGTGGGATAATTTCCAGCGGGTAGCCGGTGGGTGAAGGGTCACCCGCCGGCTGCCCGCCGGCGACCAATCTCCGGGCAGCAGGTGCCCGGCGGGCAGTCGCCTGCCCGCCGGTTGCCCGCTGCCGGCGGCGTTATTTCCGACCGTGGGTAGGTGGCGGGTCCCCTACCCCCCACTGACTCTTTTTCACAATAAATGCCCCGGGATCCTTTGTGGAACCCGAAACCATGCTTAGACACCTTTAAACGCAATTGATGACAACACGTAGACAATTAACGGATCAAAAGCAAGAATCATACGGCATAATTTCTAACCAAAACAACACCTGAGCATGCGAATTCCCACCCAATACAACAAGAATAACACCATACGAATTTCACGATACATCCTAGGGCTCTAATCATATTTAAATTAACAAGAACATAACTCATCTTTTAGTATCAAGAAACATCAAGATTCATCAAGAATATCACACCATCATCAAGAATCCCTTATCATCATCAAGATTATCAAGATTACACATACAATCATAACACCAATTATCAAGATCACATCATCAATATCATAAACGATTCATCAAGACACAAGATTATAGAGGGAGGCCTAAGAGGGAGATCATAGCTAAGAGAATAGGTTTTGTTGAGACATGGGTTACCTCTTAGCCTTAATTAATTTCCTTGGCTATGAAGGGTCTTTCTTTAAGATTAATTCTTTCTTGATTTCTCCTAGGGGGATTCTTGGAACTTCTTGTGTGGTGAGGGATTATTGTGGTGTGGGTTCTAGGTGCCTCCTATGCCCCCTATTTATATACCTAAGAGTCCCTAATTAGGGTTAGTTCTATTCCTTCTAGAACTAGGGGATTGGGTTTAGGGATAAGGGCCCATGACTATGGTGGGCCTTTTAATAATTAATTATTTGATTTTAGTCCTTTCTTTTGGGTAATTAATTAAATGATTAATTGGTTTTAGGAGCCGTAACACGGGGTGTTACAAATGCAGCTATGGTGAAAGGTGTGAGAACATGGCAATGGTGTAATATTCACTCCCACCGAAAACGCTTCCCAACAAATGGAACACGATGATGATTCCTCTTCTGCACCACTACTCTTGAACTCTTCTTGCTTCAACCCGTTAATCTCACCCCAACTCAAACCCCGTGGCGGGTTCGACGACTCACCCTCCTCCTCCTCCTCCTCGTCAATCTCCACGCGAGCCGTGACCACCAGTATACCGTTGTCTTCATTGAGGGCCAAACGGGCTAGTGAAACTCGTCGCGCGTACATTGTTGGAATAAGGGACTACATGATTGAATGAGAAGCAGAGAGAACGGATTGAAGAAGAAGAAGAAGAAGAAGAAGAAGAAGAAGAAGAAGAAGATTGTATATTTCTGATATGAAAAGTATGCTATTACAGAGAAGACAAAGAGCTTATATATGAAGCTACGAAGCGGTTGAAACAAAAAGATCATATTAGGAGGATTAGACAATAATAGCCCTATGCTATTTATTTTTATCCTCCAACACCCCCCCCCCCCCCCCCTCGTAAGCTGAGCGTGTAGATCCTGCATGCCCAGCTTAGACTTCTACTTTCACAGAATTGATGTTTACGCTACAAGCCAAGTAAAGATTGCAAAGATACATAGCACCAAGGTAGTTAGGACTGCTACTGCAAATCCAGGCTTCTCATTGAGTCCACCAAGGATGGTGGACCTCCTTTTACACCCATTCTTTTCGGGCATTTTCTCATGCAATTTTCTATTGCTATTGCATGTTGCTTCCTTAGTTTCATCAGACTCCTTACTCTCTTGTATAGTAGTTGAATCATCCACTCTGCCATTATCCTCAACTTCCTTTTTTTTTTTTTTTTTGGAAGAATCATCAACCCCTGATATTAGAAAGACTTCATCCTCTCCTACATAAATCATGTCTTCCAAACCATACTCATTTCTTTCTGTTGCAGTTTCCTGAGGAACCCAAGCCCTAAGAGATTTGTCCCATTTGTACTGAGTACCATCATCATCAGTAAATTCTTCTTCACCCTCTGATGGAATGGAAGGCCTGTCTAGATCATCATTGATCTCTGCTTCAGCCTGTTTGACCTCATTTTGAAACTTTTCAAACTCATCTTCATCATTAACAGAGGTCAGACCAGTTGGCATCAAGATTCAATTCACAATAAAGCCAGCATAATCCTGAGAGCAAACAACAGTCTTGCCAAACCTTTCTGCCAAGCTCTTTGTTACATTATACGTCTCATCTGATTTATCTGCACCCCTGATAATTTAAACCAGTTTCATAATCGGAGGAGGATTCATAAAATGCACGCAAATCACCTGTGTAGGACAAACAACAAATAGCTTTTTCTTCATAGATTCAGACTCCACAATAGCCTCAATAACAATATCCACAGACTGGAAATCTTCCAAATTCTGTGAACATTTTAGACGCCTGATCGCATCACCACCTGATAATCCCTTCTTCGACGCCATTACATCGGGAGAAAAAATGAGAGAAAAAAGCTCTAATCACCATGACTGATGGCGATTTGCTCGTTATTTTTTCACTCTCCAAAACAACGTCGACATCGTTGTAGACAGATTTGACGAGGGACTCAATATTTCCCTCCTGGCGGAAGACGAGAGGAGCAGGGACAGAAGCGGAGGTCGCATTAATGGAAATCCCGGCGGAATCGTAACCGCGGTACTCCAAGCGTCGCAGGCCATTGAAGAGAACTTCTAGAATGTAGCGCCGAGACGTCCGACGAACTACTTGAATCGCCTTCCTCTGTGGAACGACTATGGAGGTCTGCTGCTCCGAACTCGGATTCCTCTGCGGAATCGTTGCCGATGATGATCGAGCTGGCGATCGAGCGATTAGATTATCCACACCTTCTGGATTTTGGCTTCTCTGGCGCTGCGAATTCAGATTCCTCTGCGGAATCGTTGCCGATGCTGACCGGACTGGAGATCGAGCAATCAGAATTGACGGACATCCTTGGATCGCCTTCCGCTGCGGATCGGCTACGGGCGTCTGCTGCTCCGAACTCGGAATCCTCTGCGGATTCACTAGGATTGCACAGGGGCTATCGTTGTTGTTGATAAAAAAAAAAAGGATTGTCTACTTTCTCGACGTAGTTCCTCTGAACTTGTGGTGAGAGATTCCTCTGCGGAATCGTAAGATTTGGACAACTGGCGATTCAGATGTCGGCGTCGCTTCATTGACTTCTCCGGCACCGGAAAGTGCAGCAGCGTAGGTGAACTTCCGCTGCTCTGATACCATGTTAGAATAAGGGACTACATGATTGAATGAGAAGCAGAGAGAACGGATTGAAGAAGAAGAAGATTGTATATTTCTGATATGAAAAGTATGCTATTACAGAGAAGACAAAGAGCTTATATATGAAGCTATGAAGCGGTTGAAACAAAAAGATCATATTAGGAGGATTAGACAATAATAGCCCTATGCTATTTATTTTTATCCTCCAACATACATGAACATTTGTCGGGAACGCTCGCTAGCTATGGAGGGAGCCAATCCCGGCATCCGCTCAAAAACTTGGGCCATAAAAGCCCCGAAGTTGAAATAGGACAACGGGACGTTATGCCATGGAACCGTGTTCACCATTCATGGTGAACACGGTTCCAACGGTGTTAGTACACCGTTATCTTTTTTTTTTTTTTTCTTAATTAATTGTGTGACTTTTCTTCTTTATTTTCACATTTTGCGGTTTCACTTTAATTTGAGGTGAACAAAGATTTCGGACATTCATAAATTATGAATTCATGCCTGCACATTCACTTTGGAACCATGCCTACACATTCCCGTCCGAAATCACGGACATTCATAAATTATGAATCCATGCCTGCACATTCACTTTGGAACCATGAGATTATGAATTTTCTGTTATGAGATTATGAATTTTCAGTTATGAGATTATGAATTTTCTGTTATGCGATTATGAATTTTCTGTTATGAGATTATGAATTTTCATTACATTCATAATTTCGGACATTCATAAATTATGAATTCATGCCTGCACATTCACTTTGGAACCATGCCTACATATTCTCGTCCGAAATCACAGACATTCATAAATTATGAATCCATGCCTGCACATTCACTTTGGAACCATGCCTACACATTCACTTTGGAACCATGAGATTATGAATTTTCTGTTATAAGATTATGAATTTTCTGTTATGAGATTATGAATTTTCAGTTGTGAGATTATGAATTTTCTGTTATGCGATTATGAATTTTTTGTTATGAGATCTCATAACAGAAAATTCCTAATTTGATCAAACGCGCGCAGTTAACTCCACATCTGCGAAATTTTTTTTTTTTTGCCTAAAAACGACATCGTTTTACCTTGTGTTCACCATCCCCCCGTTAATCTCACCCAAACTCAAACCCCTTGGCGGGTTCGACGACTCACCCTCCTCCTCCTCCTCGTCAATCTCCACGCGAGCCGTGACCACCAGTATACCGTTGTCGTCATTGAGGGCCAGACGGGCAAGTGAAACTCGTCGCGCGTACATGAACATTTGTCGGGAAAGCTCGCTGGCTATGGAGGGAGCCAATCCCGGCATCCGCTCAAAAACTTGGGCCCTAAAAGCCCCGAAGTTGAAATAGGACAACCCAACACGAGAATCCAAGGTAAGAGGAAAAGAAACGCTCGAATCGGTGTTTCTCTCATAGGAATCAACAATCTCACCCCGCCGCCGATCTCTCAAGAAAATCGTGCGTTTGTGTTTCAAAACAATTTCTATTATTATTGTTCTCGTATCCCTCCCTGAACGCAACGTCGACTCAAACGAAAATCTGATCGAGGGTGGTCGGTAGTTTACTGTCGCCATCGCCGGAGATCGAGACAGAAATGATATGATACTGAAAGCTAGAAGCATAAGCGTACCTAATTTATAGTAGGATTAGCAAAGTTGAAATTCGAAAACTGCTCTAATTTTTTTTTCCTTTTTTGGTTAAAATTTCGTATTAAATATTATATTATATACTATATAATAGGACTTATTTCCCTTTTAATTTTATTATGCATTTACGAATTTATCATATATCCTCAGTATAAATTACATAATTTTAACTTTTTAAAATTGTATAAGTGATTGAGCATGCAGATATGGCTTTATATTTTTACTAGTATTTTTGCCCGTGCGTTGCACGGGATGAAAAAATGACGGTCAAATTTTTTAATCAAATAAATCGCTCAAATTGATCAGATTTTAATTTTTCCTTTAATGAATATGATTATCCGTTAACTTTTCCGTTAAATATTATCTTTTCCGTTAATTTCTGTTAGTTCACCGTTAACTTACTCATTGATTTAATAAGAAAGGTCTTATGTTCGAACCTCATCCCAATCAAAGTTGACATAATTAGTACTCTATTCTACTCTTATTAAATTAAATTAACAATAATAATTTAGTAGCTACAACATTAGTTATATTGTCTTTATTTTTCTCCAATATAAAAATTCTTTACATTGAAATTCATCAATTGATTATATTCGCTACATTGTCCCTACAATGTTTTTATTAAAAAATTATTCATTATCAATAAATTAATTAAGAGAAATAATTTTATTAGTTATATTGTCTTTATATTTCTCCAATTTAAAAATTCTTTACATTCAAATGCATCAATTGATTATATTCATTACATTGTCTATTATCTTTTTTGTTCACTATTTTTTAATTAAATGTCAAAGTTATAATACAAAATAATTCTATATATTTATTTACCAAGTATTTTATTAATACCATGAAAAAATTTTAAAAAAAATTAATAAAGTCAATCATATTAACCACTTGAGGGATTTGTTAACAAAGGAAGTATTCAAATCACAGAACAAATTGAAGCCTTGTTTGACAATCAGCAGTTATGTAACACCCCCTAATTTCCATGCTAATTTAAGCCTTAAACATGCAGATAACTAATCAAAACATCAAACACAGCGGAAGACTGAAAAATGATTATATAAACTGGAAACGAAAGGGGTGTTATGCCACGCTCACCCAGAGGTGAATGCACATGCTAACATCTGCATGATTCATCATCTAAAATTCATACATAACCAAAGTACTAAAGTCTATCCTTGGCACACAAGCCATAACAATAAAACAAAGATAACTACTCTAGCAGGTTCTAGACCGCGCACACGTCTACACATCACCTGAAAGAACACATAAAAGATGGGACGACGCCCGGTCAGTGAATAATGCCGGTAACCCACCAATACATGTGAAATATTATACATAGATAGGATATACGTATGTAAAATCATTTGCGAAACGGAATGTACATATATATGTTCAAAACCAAGAGCGGAAGTCAACACAAGACTCTAAGCACTCACAACAAGGTAAGGGAACACATCCCAAGACCACACGAGATACAACGACTCACAAGAACAGCTCAAGGTATAATCTACCGTCACAGAGTAGATTAACACCCGACATGCATAACACAAGAGAATGAGGACACAATCAATGGCAACGCATGCCTTTGTGACTACACACGTCACAAGAAGAGAAACACACAACAACGGCTACACAAGCCTTCGTGACAACACATGTCACAAATTGATATGCCTTCCTTATGCCCGGTTCCAACCTTATGGCTACCCCCCACCTTATGTCTAGTTCCAACCTTTACCTCCAAGACCCTTGTACACCAAGTCCAACCTTATTCCTCCGGAGACCGTCATCCCCTCTCCGACAAACCACCAAAGAAATTCCACCAATTCATAGTACACGAGGGTACCGATCACAAGCACGCGACACACACCTCGGCGAACACACGCCTCTCCAAAACACGTGAACCCGACACACAGGTCACAAATTCCATAATCACATCATGGCCACCACGAGGACCACTGTCGTACCTTGGTGATTAAGGCCCCATAAACCGAAATCGTGCAATCCAGGTACAACCACACACACCACACCTCAACAGGAATCAATCAACGGATCACAACGAAGATATGAAACCATACTCAATCAAGGAATGGGTCACAGCCCAACAACAATGATGAATAACACAAGTCATCATCAACAATAGGAATGTACAAACAACACACACTCTAGCATTTAAACACCGAACTAGCATACTCATCAAACAGGTAAACCAAAAGTAGTTTCGAAGAACACACAAGACTCATCACGGTTCAACGAAACACAATGTTGAACACTTAGCACGATTCAAGACACCAAAACCTACATGGATTCCTACCATATAGTTCTAGACATATGAAACATCAAGAAGACACTCAAATAGTTCCACAAAAGAACATCGGG